AAGACCATCTTGGAAGGGATGCTTATGTCATGTCCTCTGCAGTGTTGCATGATCTCTTGCAAGGCTGACGTTGCCAAACAAATAAGCAGGGGCAGAGTAGCCAATAAGCAAGGTAATCACGGGCTTACTTGTGATTAGTTACTATTCTGTAGTGAACAGTTTCATCACATCAAAGATGTGAAACTCATGTGAAATTGTTCACTATAGATGAGTACGTAAGCACAAGTAAGCCCTTGCTTACCTTGCTTACTGGGTACTACATGCCTGTTAGGGACTGTAAATTTGAAAAGAAGTTTTGATTCTGTAGAGAGGTACTATGTGGTTGGGAGAGAGACAGATGCCAGCCATAACTACATGCAGAATCTTTGATGTGGTGAAAAAAATGTGAAATTGTTTACTATAGATTAGTAAGTAAACACAAGTAAGTTTATGCTTACCTTGCCTATTGGGTAATCCAACACTGCAAATAAGGCTGGCTATTCCCTGAATGCTTAGCTTAATTCTGAAGCAATGGTAACAGCCTAATTATCAAGAATTCTTACTCCCTCCCCACTGCCCCAAAATATATATCTCTGAGGAATACATCGCTTTCTTGGACCACTCTCAACCTCTTTTTTCTTACCCTGCCTCTATTGGAATCATGGCCCTAAAACCCATTTCTCACTCCACATATCCTTGGAAATCACAGAATTCTGAAGTAAACATTAGGGCATCTTCAAACACTCCTGCTCCCTTATTCTCTTCTAGCATGTTCCAGGATAATCATAATTCTAGCAGCACTTACCAAAAGGATCCACACATTATTCTCCCATTAGCCTCTGGTGTCACAGTGCCTAACGCATTTACCTGCTAACCAGAAGGCTGGCGGTTCAAACCCACCAGCCACTCCCCAGAAGGAAGACTGGGCAATCTACTTCTGTAGAGATATTGCCTCTGGGACCCAAGGAGGGGTCTCTATGAGTCAGAACCAATTGGACGGCAGTGAGTTAGCCTCTGTTGGCTTTCTCAACTCTTTATGCCTGTTTTCTCTCCTAAGGAGACCCAAGGCATCTGCATTTCTGCAACTATCACAGGTACCCTGTACTAACCATTTACGCTTCAGTAAGGCTGCTGTACTGAGTGTGAGGCTCCCCTACAACCCGTGTACATTCTAACTTCCTGTTACCTGAGTTCTGGCTGTGTTCTTTAATACTGACCAATACAAACAGGTATGCAGCTGGGACACACCGGGGGAAAAAAAAAAACTCCACCTCACTGCCGTGGAGTCAGATCCAACCCATAGCAACCCCTCCTTGGGTTTCCAAGGCAGTATCTCTATGAAAGTAGATTGCCAAATCCTCCTTCCAAGGAGTAGCTGGTGGGTTTGAACCACCAGCCTTCTGGTTAGCAGCCTTAGGCACTACACCACCAGAGCTGGGACACCATATCACCCAATTTCCAGAAACATTCTTTTCTGTGGGAAAGGAAGCACACAGACACCCTCAGATACAGACAGACATGCATACACTCTTTGCAGGAAAGGGTTTGGAAGCTCTTGAGGGGTTTTCTCTTCTGCAGAGTTGTGCATGCATTAGAGGAACTTAACAAGAACTCATACATTCCAGGGACATGTTAGTGTTTGCAGTGGAAGACACTACAGCCAATTCACCATCATTGGCTCTGTGCTTGATAGTGCTTTCCCAGCTTGGAATGGATGTGGCTTAAGCCATTTGCACTCAATCATTTGGACCTCCTTGACACAAGGCACACTTCTGTGGGCTGTGCTTATATGGAAACAAATTGAAGCCAACTGGAGCAATAGCAGATTCAACCTCTGATACTGGCCTCATTAGCACATGTGCTTTAATCAGAGTGTTAATTGACCACAATGACCTTGGTGGCTACCTTGCTAAAAAAAATCACTGCAAATCACAAAAATCCCCAAGAAGAGCATCTTTGGCAAATTTCAGGATTTGACCTAAATTGAAGAGCTCCCAGACACCTCATGTATCTCTTATTTAAATGTCCTGTATCCATGTCAAGAGCTCTGGTGGTGTAGTGGTTAAGAATTCAGCTACTAACCAAAAGGCCAGTGTTTGAACCCACAGAAGAAAGATGAGATGGTCCACTTCCATAAAGATTTAGTCTTGGAAACCCTATGGGGGAAGTTTTACTCTATCCTACAGAGTTGCTATGAGTCAGAATCAACTCAGCAGTAGGTTGGGTTTGGTTTTGGGTACAGTGGATGCCACCCAATATCACCACCTATTTCAGAATGTTTCCAATGTTCTATGAATTTATAGGCCAACTCTTACTTAGACCCAATTTACAAAAGACCTATAATCTCAATGAATGCCCCTGGCCTGTTGCTACTCCCAGGGGAGCTCATTTCCTTTATTGATCCCTGTGGAGTCAGAAGAGAAGGAAGAAAAGATGCTATGAAAAGTGGGCACAGCTTTGGGGGGCTGACTACAAGGGGCTGCCTCTCAGGCAGAGCCCTATTGTCTACCTAGTAGCTCTTACCTCATACCCCAAATACCCACCCCTTCATGAACTTCCTAAAGGTTTCACTTCATCTGGTTATGTTCCCTAAAGTTTCACCACCTGGGGCTCATTTAATCACAGATGTATTTTCGGTAGGATGAGGAGCAGTTAGTCCTTGGTTAGTATAAATGGTTACCGTGTTTGGCAGCTAACTGACAGGTTGGAGGATTCAAGTCCACCCAGAGGCACCTCAGAAGAAAGGCAATCTACTTCCAAAGAGTGAGCCATTGAAAACCCTATGGAGAAACCAAAAAACCCATGGAGCACAGTTCCGCTCTGCCACATAAGGAGTCGCCATGAGTTGGAGTTGACTCTATGACCAAAAACAAACAAACAAACAAAAAAACAACCAAACGCACTGAACTCGAGTTGGACCAGACTCATAGCGACCCCTCCTTGGGTTTCCCAGGCAGTATCACTACAGAAGTAGATTGCCCAACCTTCCTTCCAAGGAGTGGCTGGTGGGTTTGAAC